CTAAGCTGAGAACTAAAATGCAATGTTGTTATCCCTCCAAAATGGTGAACTGAAATATTAGGTTTATCCTATCTTCACTAAAAGTTTAATGCTCAAATTACCTTAAGTGCAGACATTTTATTGAATGTCAGCAGCATTCACTATCATGACAACTTTGAAATTAATACATTGTGACACTCTAGGAGCTACCATTGGAAAATGTCTTTTGGCTCTTTCTGTCTATTTCTTCTGTTCATGCCAAATTGCCAGCATTGTCTTCAGAAGTCTGAGGATCCCTCTCCGTGGAAGTGCTCTCTTTAGGTTAGCTCTTGGTCCCAAGGTCATCACAGAGTCTGCCCTGGTAAAGGTCAGCCAGCTTTGTGAATCACATCACTTTGTCCTAAACTCATGCTGTTTCTCTCTCTTGACTGTGTAGATGTTTGGGTCCCACCTTATTCTCTCCTGCTTTGCATGGCTGGAGAGATGAGGTTTCCCTCCATACGTTAGACATTTTTACTTCGAGTGTGTGCTCGGTACATATTCCAGCTCCTCTTTTCTTTCCTCTAATGCAATGGTTCTCAACCAGGGATGACTTTGCCCCCAGGGGACACATGGCAATGTCAGGAGATGTTTTGGTAGTCAGAACGAGGGTTGGTGCTTCTGGCATCTGCCAAGTAGAGGCCAGGGCTAACATCCTACAATGCACAGGACAGGCCCTACAGCAAAGAATTAGCTGAAAAATGTCAGTTGTGCCAAAGTTGAGAAACTGTGGACCCATGAAATGCCCCACACTAGTCAGAATAAAAGGTCGAGTCCCAGGGTCCCCGCTGCCCCTGCATTGCCTGCTGCGTGCACTTGCTCACGTGGTACGGAATTTCTGTCATATGCCTCTGATTTTCCGTCCACCGCAATTCTTGCCTAGAAATTTCCTTCCCGTTAGATGTTGGTATTTCATGAGTACTTCTTAGTCTAATTGTTTTTCCGCTTGAAGTTGTCTACTTTCATTCTATGGGGTCCCTTTTTCTAACTCTGTTAATGAAAACAAACTCTCGTTTACAAAATGTATTATTTCTTGCTAACTGTGTGACCCTGGACATGTTATTTAGCTTCCCTTTGCTGCACCAGTTTCCTCATCCGAAATACACAGATCTACTACTATTTCGTACAGACATGACAGTGTTAAAGGAGCTAATATATGTGAACTGCTTAGAACTATGCCTGTCATACAGTAAGTACCTATAGAAGATAGATTTTTCAACATTAACAAACTGTTGATTATGGGTATATCCACAAAATATAAAGCACATTCTAAGCCATTCTTGTTAGAAATGCTTTCCGTGTTTAATTTCTTTCAGTCCATGAATCAACCAGCATTGGAAATATTCATATTAGAAGGAAATCTGAAAGGTGTCAGACCATAAGTGCAGACTTTGATTTTCAGCTTAGTCCCCTCCCTCTCCTAACTCTTCCTTCTGATCAGAGTTTTCTCCTGGCTTTCTCGGGGCTTCATGCAGGTAGAACGTCAAGGCAGGAAGGTCCTTCATTGCTCTTCTCATTGAAATGACCACTCTCCATTCATGAACACGTAGGGTAAGACTGAAACTAGGAAATAAATCCTAAGCTAAATGGAGGAGGAGGAGGGAGATCCGTGACTCTCAAGTTTCTGCCATTAAATGCGTGGGGCTGATTTAGCAGCTAAGAACACAGACCTTAGTATTTTAGGATCTCCTATCTGAAAGGAACCTTAGAGATAATTCAGTCACCGTCATCTGCATCTCATATAAAACCTCCATTTTATCAGAGAGGCAATTTAGACCCAGAACCTAAAATTTAAAAAATACTAAATAATAGCAGAGCTAGAACAAGAGAGCAGAGCTAGGACAGGGTCTTCTAACCCTCCCTTGTAACCGCAGGTCCTTCTCTCCACCTCATTTTTCTAAACAGCCTTTTCTTGCTGCTGTAATGTGGTCATGTTTCATTGCTGTCTGTTCTTCCCGTCGTGAACTTTAAATGTTGATCATTCGCTACCACGTTTTCATGTGCTACTATTTTAATCAATATTCCTGTATTAATATGGCCAGAACCAGTGTTCTGTGTCTTAAGTAAATGATACCACTGTTTACCTAAGTGCTCAGGCCTACGACCTTGACATCACCCTTGATTCTCCACGTTCTTTCTACCCCTACATCCAAATCGTGAGCGAATCCTGGGTCATTCTTACCTTCAAAACACATGCCAGTTTCTACCTCTTCTCACTGCCTCTGACATAGCCACTCTGGCCCTGCTGGTCCAGCAGAACTTTCTGTGAGGATGGAAATGTTTTATATGTGTGCAGACCAATATAGTAGCCACTAGCCACATGTGGCTATCGAGCAGCTGAAAGGTGTGGCTGAGGAACAGAATGCTTTATAACAGCTTTATTGAGATATAATTATACACATATAATAAACCCTTTTAAAGTGTACAATTCTGTGTTTTTTGTTTTTTGGTTTTTTTTTTCCTTTTTGTCTTTTTTCGTGTCCGGCAACGGATCGCAACCCTCAGTGTCGCGCCCTCACCGGACCGGGACCAGCAACGGGATCGCAACCCTCGGTGCCGCGCCCGCACCTCGCTCAGCCAGTGAGCGGGAACCGGTCTGTATGTGGGATCCGAACCCTCGGCGGGAGCGCCGCCACGCTCCCAAGCGGCGCACTGTAGCAGTGCGCCACTGGGCCGGCCCCAATTCTGTGTTTTTTAATATATTCTCAGAACTGTACAGCCGTGACCACAATCGATTATAGAACATTTTCATCGCCCTCAAAAGAAACGTATACCCATGAGCAGTTGCTCCCTTTTTCCCCCAAACATACCCAGCCCGTGGCAGCCATTGGTCTGCATTCTGTCTCAGTTGATTTGCCTATTCTGGACGTTTCATAAAATAGAATCATATAGTTTGTGGCCTTTTGTGTCTGGGTTCTTTCACCTAACATAAAGTTTTCAAGGTTCATCCATGCCGTAACATGTATCAGTACTTCATTCCTTTTTATTGCCTAATAATATTCTCTTGTATTGATATACCACATTTTATTTGTCCATTCACCAGTTGATGGACATTTGGGTTATGAACAGGCTATTAAGAATAACAAATAATGCTATTCATTATTTTAGGCTGTTGTCAATAATTATGAATAGTGCTGCTATGAACATTCATGTATAAGTTCTGTGTGTTTCATTCGTGTGTTTTCATTCTCTTGGGTGTACACCTAGGACTGGAATTGCGGGGTCATATGATGCATATACATAACCTTTTGAGGAACTGCCTGACAGTTTTACAAAGTGTCTGCAGCATTCCACCTACCCACCAGCAGTGTACGAAGGTTCTAATTTCTCCACATCCTCATCAACTCTTGTTACTTTTTGTCTTTTTCACTATAGCCACCCAAGTGTGTATTAAGTGATGTCTCATTGTGGTTTTGATTTTGTATTCCCTTGATTGCTAGTGGTATTGAGCTTTTCTTCATGCAGTTATTGGGCATTTGTATATCTTCTTTGCAAAAATGTCTATTTATATCCTTTGCTCATTTTTAAGTGGGGATATTTGTCATTTTATTGTTGAGTTCTAAGTGCTCCTCATTTTTCTGGATACAAGTTCCTTATCAGATATATAATTTACAAATATTTTCTCAGTTCTTCGGGTTTTCTTTTCACTTTCTTGATGGTGTCCTTTAAAGCACAAAGTTTCTAATTTTGATAAAGTCCAATTTATCTATTTTTTTGGTACTGTGTTTTTGGTGTCATATTTCAGAAGTCATTGCCAAATTCAAAGCCATAAAGATTAGCTCCTATGTTTTATCTTGAGTTTTATAATTTTAGTTTTGTGATCCATATTTGTTAATTTTCTATTGCGTTACAATATACATAACAGAAACTTTGCCATTTTAACCCTTTTAAGCATATAATTCAGAGGTATTAATTACATTCAGAGTGTTGTGCAACCATCACCATTATGTATTTTCAAAAATTTTTCATCATCCCTTACAAACTCTGTACCCGTTAATCAATAACTCCCTCATTCTCCCCCTCGTCCCTAGCCCTTGATAGGAACTGATTTTTTTTATTGTATTTTATTTTAATTTAATTAATCTAAATGTAAACAGCAAAATGCAGCTTGTGGCTATCGTATGGGACCGCACAGCTTTACGGCTACCAGTGTCTCCCTCCAGGACAGATTGCTACAGTCATTTCCAAGCTGGCATTGCATTTATTATTATGTCGTTCTTGGTCATCCATCATCTATTTTCCCATAAAAGCTGCACTTTTCCTGTAAGAGTGTAACCCATACCAGGTCTAGCTGACATGAATTAGACAATTCTGTGAGTGTTCTGCCTTAGCGGCTGCTATATACCTTATAATAGTCATCCTTAAAAAGAAAAAATAAAGGACAATAACAAATGGAAGCTTCACAATCCCAGTTGTATTTTCTAAACATCGCTCATTGGATTGCTTGCATTCCCCTGGTATATAGAATCCAGAGGTTCATGTGGTTGCAAGTGAGAATATGAGTTATGAATGTCCCCCAAATTCCTTCAGAGCTCAGTCATTAAAAATTTATTGTGTATTCACGTAGGTTTCTTCTCATTTCCCCATGATTCCAATTTAGCAAAAATTAAAGATGAACAGTAAATAAACACCTGGACAAAGGTCCAATGCTGGCATTTGAGCTAGATTACTTTGTTCTTATTCCTTTCATTTTTTTTTTTTAACCAGAAAAAGAGATTTTACTCTTTATAAAAATGTAAATTTCAAAGCACATCAAGTATTTGGCTGTTTGGTTTGTTGAAAGTTTGATTTTCTTTGCTTCATTTGGATAGAATAGAAGATAAAAAAATTCAGAGTTCGAAAAAGAAGGAGGCATTAGAATCACAGACGATGCGGTTTTGAAATGCTCTTAACATTTTGGTAGCTGTTTCTAAAGTTTCATTTTTATGTTTTGAATGGAATAGATCGTCGCATTCAGCTTCTCGGAAGTTAACGGTAACTTCTTCCTTTTTCAGATACTCCGTTGGCCAGCGGTCATGCCACAGACTATTTATTTGTTGGAAATATTGTTTACACGGTAAGCTTATCTTTGTTCATTGGGCCATTCTTACATGGAATGCATGTGCGTTATACTTCTCTAAACCCTTTATGTAAAGTCTATTACTATTATTTATTTCAAATCTTGAAACGATATATTATAGATTCTTTAAAGTTCAGAATGGTTGTGAATGCAGAATCAAGGTTTCTGGATGGATGATTAGCAGATTGCCCTGTTCTTCAAATGATCGTTTCACATCTACCTGTAAAAGAAAACCACACTCAACAAAGTGATTTCTCCCAAATTGTCCAGGCTAAGAAAGGAACTAAACTACCATTTGTGAGAAGACAATCACTAGAATGAGGGAATTTCTTGAAGTGAAGCTTCCTGAATGTTCCCTAAAAATAACCCCTAGAGAGTTTGCTACAACGATGGCCCTTTCAAAGCATGACAGTCTTGCAGGAGCCAGCTCTGGAGGGGAGACGTGGGAAATGAAAATAACTCACTGAGGATAATATGGTTTTCCAAACTCCTCTTTCTTTTCACAGTATGTTGTTGTTACTGTTTGTCTGAAAGCTGGTTTGGAGACTACAGCTTGGACTAAAGTAAGTTTTCTCTAGAATTGTTTTTTTTATAAGATATTTTTTATGCCAATTTTTCCTTTTAAGTCTTGGGAAAACATTGAATATATAGCTATCTTATTTTAAATTGTACATGTAAAAATTGTGGTTTGATCTTTATCAGGGAAAAAATTTGCAACCCAAAGTTTCCTGGTGATTCAGTTGCTTAGCATCTAATACAGCTCTAAGCTGTTAACAGTCATCTCATTTCAAATGTACTTGCTTCATATTAAAAAAAAGTAAAGATATATATACACACACATACAAATGTACATACATACTGTGTTAGTCCATTTCTGTTGCTTATAACAAAATACATGGAACTGGGTATTGTATAAAGAAAACCAAATTTACTGCTTGTAGTTTTGGAGGCTAGGAAGTCTAAAGTCCAGGGAGCACATCCGGTGAGGGTCTTGGTGGTGGCAACAGTGACGCAGGGTATCACATTGTCAAATGGTGGAGCAGAGAGAGAGCTAACCTCATTCACTCTCTTTTTTAAAGCCCTCAGAACCACACCCCTGACCACCATTTTTAATCCATTCATTACTGCACGGTCGTACGACCCAATCACTTCTTCAAGGCTCCACGTTTCAATTACCATAATAGGGTTTCCCACCTTCTTAACAGTCACAGTGGGGGCTAAGTTTCTAATAGGTAAAACTTGGAGGACACAATTCAAGCTTCAGTGTTTGCAGGAGGATGCTCGCACTGGGAGACGGAACCGGGGGGTGGAAGGAGAAGAGTTGTGGGTCAGGGCTTCTGCCGGTGCTCTTGCCCCAGGACTAGTGTTTTCGGGGCAGGCCTGTGCAGGGCACACCTGGCTGCTATCTCTGCCTCAGTCCGCAGGAATGAACAGAAATTCCTGGGTCTACCTAAGTCAAGATGCATGTCCAGCAGCTGTCTCACATGAGACTGCCCAGGGTGGCATTGCTGGCCGTTTCACCCAGTGAGTCAGTCAGCCAACACCCCAGGGTGTCGGGACCTCTGGTGAGCGTGGGTGCTGTGCTGAGCAGGCCGGACCTGCCCTCCAGGAGTGGGCTTGTGTGTCCTCTAATGCACCTTTGCTTTCTGTAAGGAAGGGACAGGCACATAATACGCCGTTCAGTGCTTTTCCACATCCAGGCAGTAGAGGAAGTTACTTGAATTCATTATTAAACATTCTGAGACAAGGAAAATAGAAAGACTGACCTCTCCAGTAACTGGGGAGTCATCATAGTCTCTCCGTAAGGAACAGTAGCCTGGACCAAGGGATTCCACAGCAGCGGGAGTTCATGTGGATCTCCTGGGCAATCCAAACCTCCTCTGAGCCTCTGTTTTCTTTGCAGTTCAGTCATCTGGCTGTCTGGGGAAGCATGGTGATCTGGTTGGTATTCTTCAGCCTCTACTCAACTATCTGGCCCACCATCCCCATCGCTCCAGATATGAAAGGACAGGTTAGTTCTCCTGGTTGTGAGTATGCCTTCCATGTCTCATGACAGCAGTGTGGCTCCACGTGTGGGTGAGTGGGTTTTCTGTGTCTCATAACAATGATGAACACTGAGTGAACCCAGGAGATTGTCCTGTACCAAAATGAACATTTCCCAACCAAGACACTTAGGGATTTTAAGGAAATCATTTCTATTGTAAAGCAATGTGATTTGTCCCCACAAAACAAAGAATAATACCCACTACAACAGCCATCATTTGCTTAGAATATCTGCCTCTCTCTTCCCTCAGGGCAAGGGTGGGTCTGGTCTGATGCATATTTCATTTGGGGAATTTAACAATGCAGAATAATAGATGGGGCTGCAGCCGATTGTCATGGACAGTTTTAAAATTAGAGGACCGTGATAGCTGACAGGATGGGGTCAGCTGGTGTGTGTCCAGAGTCCTGGACAGAGATCCACTCTACTCCAGTTCACATGGTCGCCAGCCCTCACTCCCATCAAGAGGTGGACTTTCCAGCTGCAGAGGGAATGTGCCAGCATGTTACTGTAGGAGTCACATAAGCGTGCTGGCCTGTGTGGTTCCAAGGCTCAGCTTAATGGTGAAATTGACATATTTGGGGACTTTTCTAGTAGAAATGTAGTGAACTGTTCCTACCATCGAGAGCAAAGAAGTGATAATATTAAATCACATTTTACTTTCGTAGAAAAGTCTTGTTTTTACTTGAACTGCGTGATTTCCACAAGGCAAATAATGTTGAGAAACAGAACATAGCTGAGTAAGACCACGGTTTTCATTAGGCGTCGAATGAGAGGATTAATGCAGAGTTCATGTACAATTGTACATATTTATGGGGTGTTGCGTGATATTTTGATTACTCGTGTATATTAGGGGTAATGATCAAATCAGGGTAATTAATGTCCATCACTGAAAACATTTATCATTTCTTTGTATTGGGAACATACAAAATCCTCTCTTCTAGCTAATTGAAAGTATACAATAAATTATTGTTAACTATCGTCACCCTGCAGTGCTGTAGAGCACTAGATCTTCTTCCTCCTATCTAGCTGTGACTTTGTGTCTTTTAACCCACCTCTCACAATCCCCTCTCCTGCTTACCCTTCCTGTTTAGCTTCCACATGAGTGAGAACACGTGGTATTTGTCTTTCTGTGTCTGGTTTATTTCACGTAACATAATGTCCTCCAGGCTCATCCGTGTTGCCTGAAGGATGGGATTTTATTCTTTTATGGCTGACTAGTATTCCATTGTCTGCATATACCATATTTTCTTTAGTCATTTATCCACTGATAGACACATAGGTTATTTCATATTTTGGCTATTGTGAATAAACATAGAGATAATAACATAGAGATAAAAACATAGATGTGAATAAACATGGGGATGCAGATGTCTTTTGGGTGTTTTGGTTTTCTTTCCTTTGGATATATACCCAGTGGTGGGATCGATGGATCATATGCTAGTTCTATTTTTAGTTTTAAAAAACATTTTTTAACACTTTCGAAGATTTACTTTGGTGGAGAGCGGCTAAGACTTAGCCTGAAGTCTCGGAAAGGCTAGTTCTGCTGACGCAGGAGGAATTATATGCCGTCATAGAAATAGGAACTGGGCTGTTGTCAGTAAGAGGAATTGGCTCCTTTTGGGGATTATTCAAAAGATACCTGAGCTCTGTCCATCCTTGGGACCTACGTCAGTCAAGGCTTAGGAATAAGGGGTATTCTAGGGAAAGACTGCTTTTTAAAAATTACTATTTGAAGCTTGCCTCTAGTGGTTTTTATAAACCATTTTTTGTAGTTTCCTGAGCCATAGATTTCTGGCAAATGAACATGGTTCTTTCAAGCTCTAGAATTAGACTAGTGTCTAAAGGCAAACGGCATTTCTCACCCAGGAGCCAGAGAGAGATCTGACACACAAAACCTTCTGTCTGTTCACAACATCTTCAGCCACTGAAAAAGGTGCATTGTTCCTGCTGGGGTTTCCTAAACTAATTTGATAAAATATTTCTTTGTCTTGTCTATTATATTTGGAGTTTTTCTCATGAGGGAAAATGCAGATTTTCCCTTGAGGGCAAAGGAGGAAGGGCTGTAGAATTGAAGAGTTGTTCTCTACTGTCAAAGAGTCTTTATCTTCTCTACAGCACCTCATGATGTGGTGTGTGAAACCCACCCAGACAACGAGCCAGGAAGTCCCAGTGGAAGTTTTAAAATCAAAGAAGTCATCTGCATACTTCCTGTCCTGAAAATACGCAACATTTGTGGGGTTTTAAGAGGCACCTTGTTTTTCCATTTTTCTAGGCCTGAGCTTAGATCTTCAGTAAATTAAAAATTCAAATCGTGTCTCTCCTGGTTAATGCCAAAGTCCTCAGCTATGAAAAGCATGTGATGACGTCTTTCTATAGTGTCTGGCTACGGAAAGGGCTACTGCGAGGTTAAGGCTAACGCTGATGTCATGAATCCTACTCACAGCGCCAACTGTCTAGCTCTTAGTCCTGTTCGTGATGCCATTTGTAACGCTAGGCGACCGTGCTAGTTGTCACGGCTCTTTTACCTGCCAGCAATCCTGCACCGACTGGGCAGATTGTCGAGCTAGGGCTGGGTCTGGAGCTCCCAGACCCCTCAAGCCCATTCACAGACTGGGTCACAAACCCTTCACACACCAGGCTGGGTCACCATACCCCTTTACACAGGTCTATAAGCTAGGTGATCGGCCACACCATCCTTGGAGGCTGCAGGTCTGGAAAAGCATGGCTGCCCAGGGCAGGTGTCTGAGGCAGTAGAACACCAGCCAAAGTGGTGCCAGTGTGGGTGCACTTACTCCACCCACCCACACAGTGTTTGCTGAACTACGCTGAACCAGCTCTGAGGTAAAGGGAGCCTGACCAAACTGTTCCATCTTGCCAACACATAGGGACTGTGTTTCCCACCACCGCATGATCCTGAGCTGTAAGCTCCTCCACAGCAGGTCCACACGGCTCATGGTCAGAGGTGGAAACAACAAAGCACCCTTGGCTCACCACCTGCCCGACAGTCCCTGCTGAAGTGGAGCTCTGAGTTAGAGAGATGAGGAAAACTGAGTCAGGATGTGCTTACGTTTTCTTCAGGCATTTCCCAAGGAGTGTCTGAGGAGATGCCATCCCACCTGACCTCTGTTCAAGTTAGGAGTCCCGGGTTCATGCCCCAGCAAGCTATGTAACCTTTGGTAAGTCACTTAACCTGTGTTAATTTCCTAATCAGCCAAGTCATAACATCACCCACCCTAATTACCTCAGAGGATTGTGGTGATGGTATAGTAAGATAAGCTGTGGGAAATCTAAAACATGCATGCTCTTCTTTTTCCTGGAGTGGTGAATTACTTTTGAACTTTTGTAAATAGGAATATTGCTGTGATTTAAATTTCCAGTTCTTTTGGCCTAAGAATTTTAACACTTTATAGGTTCTAGATGGGATATTTCTCATTAGGGTCCACTGACCACCTGCATCTGGGTCATCTGGGTTGCTTGTTAAAATGTCAGCACCCCCTCCCCCACACCCTGCCAAATAAATATGTGCCTGCGCGCGCACACACACACACACAGACACACACACAGAATTAGGATCTCTGGGTGTGGGGCCCCAGCATCTGATTTTAATAAATCTCCAGGTGATTCTTACCTTTAAAGCTTGAGGACCAGTGCTCTAAAACACTAAAGATATTAGTCCATTCCAATGTTTTAGATTGTTCGTGCTGCATGTTACAGGAGAAGATGGTACACTGAAAATATTCACAGCTGATTGCTTTCTCGTGTGCAGTGGTTATATAAGACATGGCCAGGCAGTGCCAGCGACTGCTGTAAGGCAGCTAGCTTTCTAAATAGGCAATTATACCAGAAGACATTACATCGTTTACCATGGAAAAATACTCCTCACCAGCTTTGGTGCTTTTCCTTTAAAGTTCTTTTCATTGCTAGTAAAACAGGGAAAAAACTTTTTCGCTTCAAAGCTTACAAACTGCTAACTCTGTCTGCAGTGCCAAGCTCCAGGCTCCAGCCATTTTCTGGCATATGAGAGGCTTTTTTAAAGTTCTAAATACAGGAATTGGTTTACTTTTGAGTTTTATATGCACACTTGTGTATATACAACACACATCTTGGTGGACTGAAAGTAAATAGGAGGAGGAATGGTTTTGCTGTTCTTGAATTGAAATACTTAGTTACTAACCTTCCATGAGTAATTGTCTCCCCTGGATTTTGTAGCCAGTGCGATCGCAGGCCTAGGTATGTTCCACCTGCAGTGTGAAGAGTGGTGTTTGTGTGCACGTGTTCTGGTCAGTGAGCCAAGAAGTAGGGGTAAGGGCATGTTGATAGCCGCCCTTGCTCAGCTGCTGTTCCAGAATGTCTCTGTAAGACAGGGGCTTAATGGTGGGATCCACCAGAGGGTCAGGAGAGACTTGTCCTCAGGTTAAACCTGCGGCATGGGGCATGGTTAGCTGTCCCCAGCATCATTTGCCCTTTCTGAAGGGAACCAGTTTCTATTCACACATGTGCTGCGATTGCTGAAGAGGCCCAGGGCACTAGGGGAGTCATTTCCACCCCTAGCTCCGGGGAAGAGCTTAATCCTGTCACCCCCTGCTGTAGTGAGTGGTTCAGAAACTCTGCAGGAGACGTTTGTTGGAGGTTTCTGGGGTAGAAGTGAGTTTGCTCCTAAAAGAAATCCATCAAAGTGATGCCCTTCTCTTGTAAACGGTGTGGTCCCTACAGTGATGCCGGGAATTGTTCAGCCACGAAGAGGAAAACCATCCTCAGGATCCTACTACTGTGAAAGATAGACTTGGAATATAGAATGAAAGTCTGTTATGCAGTTGTTGAGCCACCAAATGATGCCATCACTGAAGGCCACCCCAGGTTAGGCTCTCCAGAGAGCCACTCCTGCATGTGCTTTTTTTTTTTTCCTTTTTTACTGACTGGTAACGGGATCGCAACCCTCGGTGTCGCGCCCGTACCAGGGAC